GATGAAAGAAATGTATTAGCATGACAACACTGGATATGTCACTGAAATATGTGCATTGCTTGTTAAAAGAATAGTTCCAATGATTACATACCTTTTATAATATTGTTCAGGGTATCCTTCAAGTATTTGAGAAGCCCTGTTCAGAAAAGGCATGAAATGTTTCAGCAAAAAAATCATATTTAATAACGTTCTCAGATGTTATTGTTCATGTATTAGAAATGTTACCCTAGATGGTCTAAAGTAAGGATGGATAATCCTGCATTTTCAGCCTGCTAAAATCTGGCAGCAAATGGCTGATCTTTGTTTAGTGCTCCCTGCATTTTTCCCCCCTTGATAAGCATAAAAATAGATGAGAAGTTCTCATAGGATTAAGACACCTATTTCGTGGAAAAACATGTAAAAGAGACAGACAATTCCAGCCATAGCTCCTCCACTGATTCTGTGTTGGTTGGCTATTCCCTGGTTTACGTATTTTCTAATTAGTTCAGCAGAAAGTCCAGGAGTAGAAAATATATGTAGCTCAGGGTTGAACTATTGGGTTCTTCATGTTCTCTGAGCTTGGTTCTGTCAGAAGCCTCGCAATCAATTAAACAGTTAATCAGCTTGCTTGCTTCGTTTCTGCCATTATGGAAAAGGGGGAGAGGGAGAGGACTGTTAAGTGCAGGTGGACTGTTATCAGGTTCCCACAGACAACCAAGGTCATACCAGCCTGAGACCCAGGAAGAGCTGAGATCCCCAACAAGAAAGGGGTGGACTGGGAAAAGGGGGGCAGAAGAAAGGGAAAAGAAGGGGTTTTGGCGCATGCGGGCTTTTAGTCTTGGCAATAACTTAGAACTGTAGACTGCTGCTTAATAAAGAATTCTTCTGTTTTGAAACCAGCCCACGGTTCAACTGAGAATTTCTTTTATTTGGGTTTTTAGTCTGGCAGATTCTTACAGGTTGTTTTCACCAACAGACACACAGAGATAAACCCCATCTACAAGCCATTTAAAGGATATAAGCAAAAGTCAAGGAAGGAAACAAACCCACCTGCTCCCCAGCAGCTAACACTAGATAAGCAGGAAGCCGCACCCAATAAACAATCAGGGAAGAAGCAATACCCTAATCAAGGAACTGTTAAGAAGGAAGCCAAGACTGGCAGGACAAACTACTATATACAACCTGTCAGCAAACCCCACTTTCCCTCTCACTGACAATGTTACCTGGCCTGGCAATGAAATGTCTACAGGAAAAAAAACCAAGCTCAGAGAACACCAAGAACCCATCAGTAGGGATTACAGGAATTCCTATGAAAGCAGTATTGTAAGTACTATAGAAGGAACTATAATCCAACCAGTTCAGTATTGTCTGCATTGACTGGAAGAAGTTCTGGATTTCAGCCTGGAGTCTTTCTCAGTTCATCTGGCAACGTGAGGGTTGAATCTGAGACTTCCTCCATGCCTAGTAATATCTTCTTACTTTTAATGTGTTTTTGCCATCTTTATTTAATCACTAAAATATGTAAGTTACAAGTCCAAAATGGATCTGACCTGCTAACCAATTAGCTTTTTATCACCTTTGGGGATTAGTGTCCGTCAACATTCTCCCAGTAAAGAGCGCCAGTAGCTGCCTCCAATTATTTTTAATATACTTATTATATAAAAAAACCATACCTGGAATCTCACAAGATCACCAAATCTTGTAACACTTCAGGGTTTTCATGTAAAGGCTACTGAAATCTCACAAGATTCTGAGATCTTCAGAATGGTAGCAAAAAACCCACACACAACAGTGCTCATAGCATGAAAAGGTTACTGATTTTTGCCATTCTATATGACTGTGTATTATTTTATATTTTTTGCTGTACACTGCCCAGAGTCACTTCTTGTGAGATGGGTGGCCATATAAATTTGATTAATAAATAAATAAATACATTCAGCAAGCCTAAAACCAAGGGCCATTTTGGAAGTAACATTCCTCCTTAACATACCATAGGTTTCTGAAGGGGAATAAGCTTTCGGCTCCTTATCTCCTCTTCTCATGCACCAGTTTTAGTTCTTCAATGGTGTGATTTAAGTTCATGAGCATCATACATTCCAAGAAACAGTGGTCTAGAAAAACTAAGGTTTTATTTCTGAATCTGGTGCATGAAATTATAAAATGAAGGAAGCAATGAGACTAGAGCGTGTGGGTCAAATGCTCTTTCCTGGCTTAATAAACTATAGTATATGAAGTTAGGAATCCATCCAAGCTGAATCACTGTCTGTGATCATTTATATAATCTAGTAAAAAAAATTGGATTATACTCAGATATTGTCACTTCTTCCATATTTATCTGACAAATGTCTAGAATATTTAGCAAAGATTTGATATTGGTGCAATCACTGTCCATCTCCCTCATCCTTATTGTTTTAATGTGGATTCAGTTGTATACTCCAAGCTGGATTGGTAGTACTTAAATGATTCCTTCTAGAGAATTATTATTATAAAGAATGAAGGTAGTGGTGCTTCAAACAGCCTCTTTCCCATTTGTCTCTAAAACTATAGATAATATTTAGACAGAAAACTTCTTTCGAGACATGCCTTTAATTTCTGACAAAACTAAAGTAAAAAGACAAAAAACAAAAAACAACCCATCACATTTTTTTTCTTTTGCAGTTACTTCTTTCGAGACATGCCTTTAATTTCTGACAAAACTAAAGTAAAAAGACAAAAAACAAAAAACAACCCATCACATTTTTTTTCTTTTGCAGTTACTTCTTTCGAGACATGCCTTTAATTTCTGACAAAACTAAAGTAAAAAGACAAAAAACAAAAAACAACCCATCACATTTTTTTTCTTTTGCAGTTTCCTAGCAGCAGCAATACTAAAATTTCAGTTTATAAAATAACTGTTTCCATAAACTTACTGGCCACTATAAAAATGAGGGTTTTTCTTTTTTTTGAAAGCACTTCCATCACAAAAAGTAATTTTGATTTTCAAAATATTTTCTTGCAAAGAAACTTCCTTCTTTTCTGCATGAATGGACATCTCATCAGCTCTTTTAAATATGAAGACATTTTAAAGAATTACTTACAGCTGCTTTTGTCTGGGACTGAATAAAGGGTTTAGTGCCTTTAGCAGCTTGTTCATATTAAACATTCCAACATTTGCCTGATTTCCTATTTTATACCGTCTTTCATCATCAGATGTGTTTGGGACAAAGTCTGAAACAAAACAGTATTTTTTCTACAGTGGAACATTTGAAATAACCACCCATGTTCATTCATCTTGATTCAAAATAAGGAAAATCACACAGGTAGTAAATACCACCCCCAATTTCTAAACGCAAGCATATTTGTTTAGGCTAGATTAGCCCAAAGAAAATAATGCGCTATTAGCATGTAAGTTTACAGATGCAATGTATTTTTTTACTCAAACTGTAAACCAAAATCAGTGGTTTAAACTGTCCATTTTTTCAACATATTGACCGTGTTTTTGGACAGAAATGAGCTACTATTATACGTAATATAATTTCAATTTGTTTCAAGATTCTACATGTGTTTTGTATTAGGGCTCTTCCCCCAGTCAATCTGCATTGTCAAGAATTTACCAGTGGCCAACCTATTTATTATGACTATACTTTGAGGGAGTTGTAATAATGTGCATCCATTTCAGAATGCATGTGAGCTGTAATTGTGTATGAGACATATCTCCATTCCATAGGTTTGCCATAGATGCCCTGCTTATACTAATGAATATTTGATTATCAGCATTAAGAGTAATAGCTTTCAATTAATACAGTGGTACCTCTACTTACGAACGCCTCTACTTACGTATTTTTTGAGATACGACCAGCTCCGGCCCAAAATTTACCTCTACTTACGAACTTGCCTCTACTTACGTATTTTTTGAGATACGACCAGCTCCGGCCCAAAATTTACCTCTACTTACGAACTTGCCTCTACTTACGAACCGGATCCGCGGCCATTTTCCCTGCT